AGATGTTAAATAGCATCGGGGACAACACTGCTCCCTGTGGCACCCCACACTCAAGGGGATGCCTACGGGAGCACCGGTCGCCGAGAACCACCCTTTGTCCCCGACCTTGCAGGAAAGAGGCAAACCATTGAAGGGCAAGCCCCTGAATCCCCACGTCGGCGAGGCGGTGGGTCAGCAACTGGTGGTCGACCATGCCGAACGCAGCCGACAGGTCTAACAACACCAGTGCCGGCACACCACCTCGATCCAGATGCCTTCGGAGATCGTCAGTCAGGGCGACCAAAGCCGTCTCAGTCCCGTGGCCCGGGCGGAAACCGGACTGGAAGGGATCTAAGACTGAAGCATCCTCCAGAAAGCTCTGTAACTGTAGCGCCACCGCCCTCTCTATAAGTTTGCCCAAATAGGGCAAATTGGACACAAGCCGATAGTTCGCCAATTCGGCCGGGTCCAGAGATGGTTTTTTTAGGAGGGGGCGGACCATCGCGTCCTTGAGCGCATTCGGGAACCGTCCCTCCAAGAGGGACATGTTGATAATATCCTGCAATGCGCCTCGCAACCCCTCGGGACCCGTTTTAATGAGCCACGAGGGGCACGGATCAAGGTCGCATGTCATTGAGTGCACAGAGACGAGCAATCTGTCCACTTCGTCCAGACTGAGCTGATTAAAACACTCTAAACCCGCTACCGAGGACGCGCAAGGGGCCTCAGGTTCGCTCACTGTCTCAATTGTGGCGGGCAGGTCGCGGCGAAGCTCCAAGACTTTATCCGCGAAAAAGCTCGCAAAAGCCTCACAGCCAATGTCCGATTCCCTAACATTTTGCTTGCCCTGAGGCAAGGTTGTCATACTCCGAATTACTCTAAATAATTGGGCCGGGCGCGAGCTCGCGGACGCAATCTCAGCCGCATAGAAATCCTTCTTAGCGGCCTTAACTGCCATCTCATAGGATCTCATAAACGTCCTATAAGATGCTCTTGTTGCCTCGTCGCGAACACGCCGCCACCGTCTCTCTAGTCATCTCAGTTCTCGCTTCAGCAACCACAGCCCCTGGGTATACCAGGGGGCGCAACTAACACGAGTACAGAGAGGACGCCTGGGAGCGATCACGTCGATGGCCGTGGAGAGCCGGACATGCCAGTCCTCCACTAGCTCATCCAACGAACCGCCAGGGGGCCTCAGATCCCGCAGAGCCCTCTGAAACCGCTCCGGGTCCATCAGGCCCCGCGGACGAGCAAAAATCCGCTCGCCGCCTACACAGGGTTGGGGTGGAATGCTCAGACGGGCCCTCAGGACCAGGTGGTCCGACCATGGCACTGCCTCGGCAGTGATCCGGTCCACCTCCACTCCCGCTGCAAAGATCAGGTCGAGCATGTGACCGGCCCTATGCGTGGGGGCCGATACGAACTGTGAGAGTCCCAGTGCCACCATGGATGACACCAGGTCCATAGCCCGGCCATATTTGTAAGGGAAGCTAAGGGTCTCTGCTTGTGGCAGGCATAACTCATCAGAAAATAATGCCACATGCTTGAGAAATGGCCACCAACCCCAGAATTATGACAAATGTTGGAGTGCCAAAAACAAAGGGAATTGGAACACCCTGAACCAAGTTATCTTCATGATAGGCAACATGTAACATGAGAGCTTTTCAGCAACCTGTCATATGTCTCCGATAGCTAGATCCCAGTCCACCATAGAAGGCTGCTGGGTGGCACACTCCCAGTCAGACCTACCTCAGAGGGTTATTGTGAAGGTAAAGGGGAGGCCAGGAGAACAATGCAGCTTTGGGCCCCCACTGGGGAGAAAGACTGGGTATGACATCTATATATCTAATTCTCAATAGTCTCCTCTGCCTGCAGATACTTATTTCCAACAACAGAGGGCTCACTCTCCCCCAACAAGTTTTTCTACAGACTCAGGGGACTCCGTAGATTTAGAGAAAAATCCAAAAAGTACAAAAAAACCCCCAACCCAACGTTGGGAAGGGTTGAATTCTCCCCCCATCTTTTATTCTAATGGCAAACCTGGCCAAATCTGCAGATCAAGCCCATTTACACAGAATGAAGAATATATTTTTTTACAAACCTTGGGAACTACCTAGGTTTGCAGAAAAATCTGAAGAGGGGATAGAGGGGGAGCATAAATCCCTTAAAACAGAGGAGCATTGTCAGCGCATGTACAGACAACACTTCTCCATTGTAGTCCCGAAAGGCATTTCAGATAGGCAATGGCTGGCGAGTGGAGGGCAAGTGGAGGGTGGGAGAACGCCAGGAAGAGCTGGCTGGGAGCGGGGCCCTCATATTCTGCCCCTTCCTACCAGGGCTGCCACAGCTGCCCAGGCCAGTGCAACCATGTGCCCATCATAGCTCTCCACCTCACAAGCACAAGACAATGCAGGTGCAGTGGTTGTGTGGGCGGGATAAACGGCAGTGTAGCGGGAAAGAAGAACTACTGTCTGCTGAAGCAGCTGTGGAGGTTACCCCCCCAGCTTGCCATGCTCTTTCCTCAGCTGTTCAGTGGTGAGCATTGGGAGGGAGGGATTGGGCAGGTAAGCAGCAACCTGACAAGGGGGAGCACTGATGATGGGGGGGGGGGACTAGAACCAAACAAGCACTGCACTGACAGTGGGAGTGGGGTGTTGTAAGTTCCAGGTGCGATGTCCCACTGTCTCAGACCACCAGAAGCAAGTGGACACAGAGTATTCAGGCTAGGGTTGCCAGATTTCTTTTGGGGGGTCCTGATTTTCCTGATTGGGGGGGAAGCCCCTTCTCTAGGCTTGCGGGGTAGGCATGAGCGGTGCGCGTTCTTTTAAAGCAGGGACCACCTGTGCCTGCCCTACAAGCAGCAAGATCACAACTTGCAAGGCAAGTGCCAGCGACTCCCACTTCAAAAGAGCGCGCAGCTTGCTGGGCAGGTGCGAGCGGCACCCGTTCTTTTGAAGCAGGAGTCGCTCACGCTTGCCCTACAGGCTGCGAGATTGCCACTTGTAGGGCAAGCACAAGTGGCACTCAGTCTTTTGGAGTGGGAGCCGCTCCTGCTTGCCCTGCAAGCTACAATCTTGCAGCTTGCAAGGCAGACACAAGCGGTGCCATACCTTGAATAAACCTTTGTTGGTCTTAAACGTGCCACTGGACTCTAAATTTGTTCTACTCCTTCAGACCAGCATGGCTGACCATCTGTTGTTGTTGTTCAGTCGCACAGTCGAGTCCGACTCTTCGTGACCCCATGGACTAGATCCCGCCAGGCCCTCCTGTCTTCCGCTGTCCTCTGAAGTTTGCTCAGTTTCATGTTCGTTGCATCGATGACACTGTCCAACCATCTCATCCTTTGCCGTCCCCGTCTTCTTTGACCTTCAATCTTTCCCAGCATCAGGGTCTTCTCCAGTGAGTGCTCCCTTCTCATTTGGTGGCCAAAGTATTTGAGCTTCATTTTCATTATCTGGCCTTCCAGGGAACAGTCAGGGTTGATTTCTTTTAGGATTGACTGATTTGATCTTCTTGCAGTCCAAGGGACTCTCAAGAGTCTTCTCCAGCACCATAGTTCAAAAGAATCTATTCTTCGGCCATCTGGATCCACAAAATATACCATCTGGATCCACAAAATATATGTTAACTAGCCAAGGCAGAGACAAAGATTCTCCCAACCTGAGATAGCATCGTCTGATCCTGGAGTTGGCAACCAAAGGGACTTCACTGTCATTAAGACACAGCAGGGGAATTAGCCAGGCTATTCTTCAGTAACAAAGCCTTTTGAAGTCCGTTGCTTCAAATGCAAAATGACGGGCCATCTGGCGAACAATGTAAAGCTGAAATGCAGGTAGAGCCCAAAGTCTTTAAGAGGAAAAATACAAGCTTATTTTAAAGCTAAACATTACTCTGCTTTTTTAGAGGAAAATGCAGATCCATTTTCAATTCTTATTGATTCGGGAGCCTCAGCACACATGTTCAAATCATCAGAACTCTTTTAAAATATTAAACAACTCCAAATGCCCACTCAGATCATTTTTGGGAATGAAAGGAAGCTGAAAACTTGGCATTCAAGAGACATTTACATGCTATCGCTAGTAGATGGCGCCAAAGGATTACTTTTGAAGAATGTGCCCTATGCTGAGCGAATCAGCTGGAATTTGCTTTCACTTGCACTGCTAGATGAAGCTGGGTGTAGGTTTCAACTTGAAAAGGGAAAATGCATACTGTCTCGTGATAATGAGATCCTCCTTACTGGAATTAAAAGGAATGGACTTTACTATGTACAAGGAAATGCTCTGCCACAATTATGCCCAAATGATGACGACTCTGACAAACTTTTTGAAATGCCAGAGAACGCTTATGAAGAAGAAAAGAGATTGGATTTGTAACCTGCCATTCACTACCCAAAGGAGACTCAGAGCAGCTTACAAACTCCTTCCCTTCCCCTTCCCACAACAGACACCCTGTGAGGTAGGTGTGGCTGAGAGAGCTCTGAAAGAAACGGCTTTTTTCAAGAACAGCTCTTATCAGAACTATGGCTTGCCCAGGGTCATCCAGCAGCTGCAAGTGGAGGAGTGGGGAATCAAACCCGGTTCTCCCAAATTAGAGTCTGCACACTTAACTACTACACCAAACTGGCTTTCCATGAAGAAATGAATGTTGCTGAAATATGTTCACACGACAAATGCAGACATTTCTGGCACCGCAGAGCCTGCCATAGGGGTGTCCAGAGCATTTTGAACTTGCAAAGTAAGGATCTTGCCATTGGAATGGACTCTGTTAAATGAAAAACTACTTTTGACTGTGAAAAGCAGACTACAGTGGCAAGTTCTGCTGCTGAAGCAGAATACGTGACAGCCGCACTAAGCTGTCAAGAGACACGTTGGCTGCTACAACTCCTGAAAGACATCGGTCTAGATGTACCACAGCCTGTTATAATGTATGAAGACAATGAAAGTTGAATCTGCATTTCTGAGAAAGGAGATGTGAGTCAACACACCAAGCACATCGACATGGAAGTATCACCTGCTAAGAGATCTGCAGAAAGAAGGCGTCGTCAAGCTGATCCGCTGTCCAACGAAGGAGATGATTGCAGATGCTCTCGGCAAGCCTCTACCCACAGAACGACTTGAAGTCCTGAGAGATTGGATGAAGTTGGTGCAACTGAGCCACCACGGGCCATCGAGATGGGGTGCAATGTCCCAGGTGCAATGTCCCTGTGTCTCAGATGTCCAGAAGCAAGTGACCCCAGGGTATGCAGGCAGATAGGCAAACTCTAAGCATCTTCCTGTTTACTTTCTACTGTCACATTCTCCCTTCGAGGTGCAGACAGGGCCGGCTCACCCACTAGGTGAACTAGGCATTCGCCTAGAGTGCTGGGCCCTGGATGGGGCGCCGAGCTGTGCCTCCCCCCCCCCCCCCCAAAAGCCCGCGAGCAGCTCTCCAAGTGTCAGCACTTCACTAATTGGGGAGAGGCATCCGGTGAGCATCCCCCACCTGGAGACAGGATCCCCTCCACCTCCCTCCCAAACTGCCTTTAGAAGCGGAGCACGAGAGAAATCTCTCTTCCATCTTGGAGGGCGCTGCAGGAACATGTGGGGCGTACTCGCTGGGTCTGACAGCTGCGGAGGGGGAGGAGGCGGTGGCGGCGGTAGCAAAAGGGTGGCTGGCTCCAGAGGTTTCCAGGCCCCACCAGGAGGTTGGCATCTGCACCACAAGGCAGCCTCGCCTAGGACACAGAAACACCCCGAGCCGGCCCTGGGTGCAGATGAACACTCCTTGGGGGAAAGCAACTTCCTTCTGTTTTCTCTCTCTCTTCCATACACACAAGATGGGGTGCAGGGTGCCCCTCAGCATCCACTCCCATCTGTTAGCTAGACAGCATAGGAACTGCCTCTATTTCTCTACCCTGCACTATCAAGTATTTCTAGAACAAAACAGTTTTATTATTTTGTTTTAACTTGAAACAGTGGCTCTGAGTAACTTTGCAACTTTGCAAGCACATGGTCAGGTCTGAGAAAAGCACCGCTGAGTTAAAGCCTTTTGCACTCTGCTAACTAAAGCATTCATGGAACTGCGGTGGCTCAAGTGGTTAAGACACTGAACTGCAGGCTGTGGAAGGTCAGTAGTTCAGCAGTTCGAGACCCGAGTGTGCCGCATGACAGAGTGAGCTCCCGTCTCTAGTTCCAGCTCCTGCCAACCTAGCAGTTCGAAAGCAAGAAATTGCAAGTAGATAAATAGGTACTGCTTCAGTGGGAAGGTAACAGCGTTCCGTGCGCCTTGGTGTTGAGTCATGCCGGCCACATGACCACGGAAACGTCTTCGGACAGCGCTGGCTCTTCGGCTTTGAAACGGAGATGAGCACCGCAACCCTAGAGTCAGATTCGACTGGCTTTCGAGCAAGGGAACCTTTACCTTTAACTAAAGCATTCACTGTGCTTCAAGTCCTTTTCTGGGACATAGAGTCAAAGACAGAATTAGTGAGGGAATATTCCTGTTTCTCATGGGTTCCTGCTGGTTTGATTCCCCACTCCTCCTCCACGGGAAGCCTGCTGGGTGACCTTGGGCCATTCATAGTTCTCTCAGAGCTCTCTCAGCCCCATTTACCTCACAAGGTGCCTGTCTGTTTGATAGACAAAAATGGGGTACAAAAAACAACTCTTCCTCTTCTTCTAATTTGTAATGCTATTAAAAATAATATGTCATTTGTAATTGAGATAAGTAGCATTTACAAAGGTCAATTACATCTTCCACCAACACACACAGAAAAATATAGCAACCCAGTCCCTGAACTGGGAGTTTTAACTTTTGTCCCACGTGTATAAATGGTTTTAAATATGTTTTATATTTAATACTGGCTTATGCCTGATTGTAAGCCGCCCTGAGCCCCCGTAGCGGGGAGGGCGGGGTATAAATTGAATTAGGCGAGGGTTGCCAACATCCCTGAAGAAAAATGACCTCTCTTTTTAATAGAGGCTTGATGGGATGTTGTTTACCATATGATGTTACTTTCTTACCTTGCCATCAACACCTTCACCTGCCTCTTCCAGGGATGGGATTTCTTCTTCCTCCAGGCTGTTGGCCACCATAGCTGAGAAAACTCTGGCCAAAATTGTGACTGTCCACCATCCCGTTCACTTCTTATAGAGGGCCAGCCAGGCATCGTTCAGAACTGCCTTTCTTGTTCAGCAGCTTAACACCCCCCCTTCTGCATTTAAAGACTGCATAATAATTTGGTTCTCTTACCAACAGCAAAGCAGGAAAAAAGAATAGCAACAAAAATATCACCGAATCATAAAATCATAGAGTTGAAGGGATCTCCAGGGTCATCTAGTCCAACCTCCTACACAATGCAGGAAGTTCACAGATACCTCCCCCGATATTGGATTTATACCCCACCCGTCACTCGGAGTCTCAGAGTAAGATGGCAAAAAACCTCCAAGATCCCTGATCAAACTGGCCTGGAGAAAAATTGCTTCCTGACCCCAAAGTGGCAATCAGCATTTCACTTGGCATGTAAGGAAGGGGCACAAGAACTAAGTGCTGAGGCAACCCTTCCTGCCCTCCTACTCATAATCTGCCTAAGTCCACAGAATGGGCATTGCTGTCAGATGGCCATCTAGCCTCTGCTTAAAAACCTCCAAAGAAGCTCACAACCTCCCAATAGTAAATTGGGAAGGGTAGCAAATACAGTAAAAGACAGTGTCAGGATACAGAATGATCTTGACGGGCTCAAAAACTGGGCTAAAACAAAATTAATTTTTTGGGGGGACAAATGTAAAGATTTGCATTTAGGTAGGAAAAATCAAATGCATAATTATAGGATGGGGGAGACTTGTCTTGGTAGAGGTAGCATCTGTGAAAGGAATCTAGGGGTCTTAGTAAACCATACATTGAACATGAGTCAGCAGTGTGATGTGGTAGCTAAAAAGGCAAATGCAATTTTGGGCTGTATCAAGAGTACCCAGATCACGCGAAGTGATGGTACTACTTTACTCTGCTCTAGTTAGACCTCACCTAGAGTATTGTGTTCAGTTTTGGCCACCACAATTTGAGAATATAGACAAGCTGAAATGTAACTGAAAAGTATGCAGACGGAGAGTGATTTCAGCAAAGCGTACTTTATTAGATCAGGAACAAGACGGCTTTGGCCGGCTCGCCAAATTCCCTGAGAAACCGCCACCCAAAACACACACCCACTTCCCAATAGGTTATTTACAGTGGCCGAGAGTCCCATTGGCTTCTCGGCCAGGAACCTAGCCCCCTGATTGGAGCAGGATAGGATCCGCATAGTCCATTGTCTCTTGGAGCGAAGCTCGACGTTTGTCTCTGGACTTGTCTGGACTTGATACACTACAGTAACAAAGGTAATGAAGATGGTGAGGAGTTGAGGAAAGGCTGAAGTAGCTGGGTACGTTTAGTGTAGAGAGGAGACAACTGAGATGTGATATGATAACCATCTTCAAGTACTTGAAGGGCTGTCATATCAAGGATGGTGTGGAGTTGTTTTCTGTTGCCCCACTAAGTCAGACAAGAATAATAATAATAATAATAATCTTTCAATTTATTGATCGCTCAATCCTTGCAACTGCCGGCTCTGAGCGATTTACAGTTACTCTTAACACGGGACTAACAATGAGGGGGGTAAGGGAGGACAACATATATCATTTAAATTACACACATTCCACAGCCGACAAGGAATATATGGTGATCTGCGGTGAACATCAGGCATGGTCCCGGCAGCCTCTCTCTCTCTTTCTCTCTTCTCTCTCGGCGTCACTTTTTTGATGTCGTCAGCATTTTTCTCGGTCGCAGCACACCACTGCCACCATCTGGCCGTAATGGCCGGAATGTCCCATTGCGGCTGCGTAGATCTTTTCTCGGCTTATGATTTTCCGCACGGACCTTCCGTTATCGGCTAACACCTCACCCATGAGGGGGATTTAGTGTGCCCGCCCTCTCTAAGGAGCGGTACCCATTTTATCTACTCGCCGAAGCTTTCGAACCGCTGGGTGGACGGCGAGCTGGGGACAAGACTTGGTAGCTCACACCAAGTGCGGGGCTCGAACTGACAGCAGTCCTGTTCAGCTCAGATGTTTAACCAGAGGATAAATCCCCTGTGCCAC